TTAGCTTCATCTTCGGCGCCCCCTGAAGTTGCACGGCATGGGCTCCCCATAGCCGCCCAGAAGCGTCACAACGGCGCCATCATCGTCGTCGTCGTCGCCGAGATCTGGATCGGAGTAGGGCGACGAACCACGCCTTCAATTCTTTCGCCGCCACCTGCTTCCCCCTCGTCGCCCGCTCCTCTATGATTGTCACCGCAACTTTCTTGGTCTTCAACAATGTCGCCGGAGCAGTTGATTTTGGCAGAGATGGTGGTGCAATTTTCACTCAGAGTACACAGACAGTAAATGTTTGTGATCAAACAATTACAGAATTTTAGTGTCTGTGTAACTAAATAGCGTTGATTGTTGTTTTTTCTTTTGTTTTAAACATAATTAAATTTGTGAATGCTCTTGATACTCTACTATTTTGCATATTTAACGGGTGAAATTTTCATCCAGGTTACACAGATAATAAGTGTCTATGTATCAAGAATTACATATATTTAGTGTCTATGTAACAAAACAGTGTTATTATACCTGTTTTATTTTTTTACAATCTAGAGAAAATTGTGAAATGTTCTTTATGCTCCATTATGTGTATATTTGTTTGATTAGTTTTGATACATGTTACACACACAATAGACAAACGTTTATTGTCTATTTGACCAAACATTACTTTATGCATATTTACTTTATTTTTACAATACAAAAAAAAAATTATGATATATTATTTGGTATATTTGACAAGTGCACTTTTCATACATTAAATACATATATTACATGTTTGTGTTTGAATAATTACAAACTTTTAGTGTCTGTGTGACCAAATTCGCCTCATTCTTTTTTTTACACTATTAGTCTTCTAACCCACTACAACTTGCCGTCGGAAATTCATCGCGTCTTGCCTGCTTTCCCTGCGCACCGCCGTTGTTGGGTATCTTCTAAACCGTTGCCGGTGCTGTCGCCAGAGGGTGTTTCCTCACCTACCATTGCTGGATATTTCTCACCTATTGTCGTTGTAGCTATCCATCAACCAAACCATTATTTGGGACATGAAATGTACAAATTTCTAATTTATTCTCTCAATTATACATATTTAAATCTAATTTTTAGGGCTTTTTATTTATTTTTATTTGAATAGTATGTTGGTATATTATATTTTGAATACTTGGTATTTGGTATGGAGTATGATTTTCTGTGTATAATTATCTATCACATAGACATCTACAATCTGTGTCACTGAAATTACAGACAACTAGTGTCTGTGATAGACTTGATAAAATGTTTTTGATCAAGAATTACATATATAGACTGTCTATGTCTATGTAACTAAGCTATGTTAATTGTAACTCTTTTTTACAATATAGAGAAATTGTGAAATGTTCTTTATGTTCCATTACATGGTATATTTGATGGATTTCATTTAAACACATGTTACATAGACAATAAACATCTATTTCTGATTAATTAAAGATAGTTTTTGTCTATGTGACCATAAAACACAACAAATAATACTACAAAGAATTAGATGTAGTAAAAAGGGGGAGATGTAGTTACAATAAAGTGTAAGTTATAATATACCACAATGAGATATTGTTTTCAAGAATGAGAAACAAACAAAGCAGTAAATTAACGTGACATGTGATGATTACATCTTTGTCATCACCAATAGTGACTTCGGCCATCGTCTGCAAGAAGCAACCTTTCAGCACACAAGTTCAACACATCTTGTTAATGTTGTAAAAACTAAAAAAAAATATATGAGAAGTAAATTAACGCATTGGTAAATTAATAACAAATTTAAAATCAAAACTAACAATACGTTCCAACCAGCATATTGACTATCTATGACTATGAGATTCAATTTTACAGACAGTTAACGGTTTTAACTGAAGAATTTACTTAGTGTCTGTATATAGGTATTTACAAATACGTAGTATCGATTATTACAGACACATAGTGTTTGTGATTAAAAATTCACAGACAGTAAACATTTTTGAGCCCCATGTATGCTCAAGAAAAGTAATTCAATCACAATTATTATTTATCACAAAAAAAGAATGTTTATGAAGCAAACATAAATCATGTACACTTTCTAGATAGTTGAATTCATATTTCTCATGTGCCATTGAACCAATGTAAAACACCGGTAATTTATTGACTAACAAACCTTAAACATTGGTGATAATGAAATACATACATTTTAACCTAATAATACACACTCGAAATACATTTCAAAGCAACTTTTAAAATAAGGCAAACTATTAATTAGGATACATGCATTTCACACTAAAAAGCAATGAAGCTCTTCAGAGACATTTCATAGCAAGTTTTGAAATTGAGCATCCTTATTTGGAAAACAGACATTCTATGCCAGTAACAAACACTTCACAAACACTTTCAAATAATTCATGAAATAGAACAAGTTCTTTTTTAAATAAAGACATTTTATGCAAGCTAGAAGCACATCATAGACATTTCAAAACAAGTTTTGAAATCGAATACTCTTAATTAGAATACAAACATTTTACACCTGTGAGAAGTACTACACAGACATTTTGTAATAAACATGAAAAATGCCTAATTAGAACATGTTATTAATGAAAAATTAACAACTGAAAAGATTCAAAAAGGAAATAAACAATTGAACAAGTTCAAGAAACAATGATTCACAAAACACATAAACAAAGGCTAATTTCACAAAAGGGAAGGATTGAGCGATTGAATCTAGATTTACTAAATAAAAACCCTAAAATTGAAATATAATTATTTATTATTACCTTTAATTTGTTATTTTACCGTGGCCAGATGGGAGCAAAAAATCGAAGAAGACAAAGGAGGCGCTCTTTGCCAAGTTGAATCTTCCACCGATGCACTCGATGGAGGATGGCTAACTAGGGGTTGCTGTAGAGGAAGAACGGGGAAGACGAAGGAGAAGCTCTCGGAGAAGGGATGTTCTTCCGGTATGCTTCGTCGGAGAAATCTGAGAGAGAGAGCAGGGGGTTATGGAAAGATGGGGGGATGGAGTAGTGGGAGGGGTTATGGAAAGTTAGGGGGGAGGGGGTATGTATGGTGTATAAGTGTACACATATGGTGTACACATAGCTTTTTCTTTTATTCAATCCCCACCAACCCACCTAGCAGTCCAACACGCCTCCTCGTCACTCTCCCTCCCATATTACTTCCCACCCAACCATTCAACTTAGGACCATGCTAGGGTGCCACCACATGGGTGCTACCATGGGTGCACCCATTCTTCGCACAGACAAAAACAGACAATAATTGTCTGTATCGCACAGACAATTATCGTTTGTGTTTGTCTGTGCGAAACATGGGTGCACCCATGGTAGCACCCATGTGGTGGCACTCTAGCATTTTCCTTCAACTTACTTCATTATGATTCAATTCACCTACGATTTTGTAAATCCTTTCGAACCTTATCCAACGCTTTAAAATAATACCATTTCATTTTCATCTCATCTTTTCACTACAATATTTTTTTTCAAAAATTGCGATTGAAGAGATTTGGTCAACATCAATTTTAAGGTATTTTATTTATTTTACGACGTATATTTGATTTTTTTGTTAATCATTTATTAAAAAAAATATACTTGAAGCAACATAATTAATTTTTTAAGTGAACAATTATGAATAGTTTTATTTAAAAATTCGAAATTAAGGGTATGAATTTTGGTTAGTAAGTTATTATGTTATTAATTAATTAAGGTAGTTAATATTTGTTTCAAAAAAAAGGTAGTTAATATTTAGAGATTATGGTTTTAGATCTTTTATTTTAATTATTTGCATGTTGGGTTTGTCAAAATAAGTTACTCCTTAGTTATTTGTCAAGTTTTAGTTTATTGTAGCATATAATTTTGTTAGAGAGGAAAATAAAATTAAGATACTAATTAAGGTAAGGGTTAATTAGTCGTTAGTAATTTTTGGTTTATTATATACTCCGTATAGTTTACTTTTATAGGAATTAGTGAATTTGTAGTAATTTTTTACTTAGGATCCGTTTGTTACACAGAATTGACGAAATTGGATTTGAGTTGAAAATTGAATCTATATGGAATTGATTTGGATGAAATTGAATTCTCCAATTCCAATTCGTTTTTGGCACAATCATTTCTAGTTTTTGGAATTGTTGTTTTCTTTTTCAATTTCATAATTTGAATTTCGTGTACCAAACGGGACCTTTAATGTTTTAATATTTTGCAATGTTTATTATACTCGGTACGTAGTTTATTAAGTTAGCTAGTAAGTACTTGTAGTAATTTAAGCTTAGACAAACACCCTCTCTGTACTTTTAGTAGAGACTAGTACATCACCCGTGCAATGCACGAGGAGATAAAACATTTTTTGAGTGATGTATCATATTATTTAATTAACTCTAAATATAAGTACTAACACAAAGAATGTATTTTAAAGTACACTATATTCAATACCTATTATTCAAACGAAGTAAAGTAAACAATGTATGGTAAACATGAATCATATGTTCTCAAAAACCTACTAATAAACTACATTAATTGTAGTATTAGATGGAGTATCGTCAGAATTACATATCATTATTTTTAATTCCTCGCGAGACAGCACCCTAGACATGGCAACATACAGCTGTCCGTGACTAAAAACAGGTTTTTTCAAAAATAAACCAACATGAGAGAGAGAATGTCCCTGACTCTTGTTTATGGTCATCACATACGAGACCATAACCTGAAAGTGTCTTCTTTAAAACTTAAATGGTAACCTCGTATCTGACAGAGTCAATGAAGCTCAGGGTATTAAAACCGTTTGGCCTGCATTTTTTCCATGAATCATCTTTGCTTCCAAAAGACGGTTACCTAGTCTTGTAATAATTCCATGAATCATCTTTGCACAGACCATTATCATGATCAATGTTGAGCAAAAGCATTATCGGAGTCCCAACTTGTAGTAATTTAAGCATAGACAAACACCCTCTGTGTACTTTTAGTAGAGATTACTCTTTAGTTAAAGCAAGAAGTAAATGTAAAAAATAACATACTTACCATTCATTATTCATGAGACTGAACTTGCCATAATTTATTAAAGACTTCAATGGAAACCGTAACAAATTTCAGAGACAAAGATGAAGAATAATGCTGCAGTAGTTATACTGTTACACCTTCAGAAACGAAAGAGCGAGGGAGACTTGGTAAGGTGCTCCAGTAATAAACACACCCCCTCTTGTTATTGTGGTGAAAACTGTTGTAAAAAAAAAAGATAGTAAAGACCAAAAAAACAAGATGCAGTTGAACAATAAACTACATACATTCAGAAAAGGAAGAGGGGAACTCAAAAGCTGCTGCTCAAGAATCAAAGATGAGACTTGATTCCCCACATATTGTTGTTATTTCAACAAACAACAACTGTATGTCGCTGGCTTTACTACTGAGGGTTTGGAGGCCTGCTGTTAGCCGCGGAGACCCGAGACCCCCACTCAAGCAGCTCTTTGCTCGTATCATCTTTGTGCACTATCACTTCGATGAAGCACAAACAATCCTCCTTCTCTCCCGTTGCAGTCTCGATCGCTTCCACCAGCTCCTCTTCACAAAACACCTACACCATTATGTGTATATTAGTCAATCGGTTTAACATTTGTTTGGATCCTGTAAAAATACTACCCACTCCGTCCCTGAGTATTTGTCTACTTTTGACTTTTTTTCAATTAAAATTGGCAACTTTTGACCACAAATTAAATAAAAGTTATAATCCGTATTAAATTTGGATACAAAAATAATTTTTTAGATTCACTTTATAAAATATTTTCAAAATATTATGTTATCTAATTAATATACAATATATATTTTATTTAATTATAGGTGAAAGGTTGAAAATAGTTGACTGCAAGAAGTCAAAACTGGACAAATACTCAGGGACAAAGGTAGTAGTTATCAACTTCACTCGCCTTGGTCGTCCAGCACTTGCCCTCGCCGTTATGGATTGCGTCAATGAGTGCCGTGTAGTTCCAGTTCTTGATGACATTGTAAGGTCCGTCGTGGATCTCAACTTCAATTGTGTAACCACCGTTGTTTATCAGGAAAATGATGGTCTTCTGCCCACAACGCAACATTGTCGAAACATCTTGTGCGGTCACCTAGAACATAAAATTTACAGAAGTGTTGTGTTATTTAGGTAAAATGCATTACATTAGCTGTTTATTTGCAGATCGGATAGTAAAAAAAAGTTTTTACCTGAAAGCTACCGTCTCCAATGAACGCTATAACCCTCTTCTCGGGCCTAGCTTGTGCATAACCAAAAGTTGCGCCTACAGACCACCCAATCGACCCATACTGCATTTGAAACTCATACCTGTAAAACCAGTGTAGCGTACAACACAAAGTCAATAATAAGCTATTAAGTGAAGAACAGTGGAAAATGAAGAAAAGACCATCGTTTGTTATGACGGTTACCCGCATCCTTGGGGTAATTTCAGCTTCTGACAGTTGAACCATGAGTCTCCTGTCTCAGCAATGACAGCGGTTTCTGCAGACAACATTTTCTGGATGTGCTGGAAAAGAATATTGACCCTTAGTGGCTCCTTTGGCTCACATTTCAGCGGCTGCCCTTCCGGAACGAAAATTCTATGGTAATTCTCGTAAGCTGTCGTGTTGCGTTTAAGCCTCTTGGCAAGTGAACACAGGAAATCCTTCATCAGAACACAGCCAAATGCAGGACCATTGGCAATGACCACACGATCGGGTTGCACAATGATTGCCTTCTCTTTTTTGAGGAGCAAGGAATAGCCAACCGAGCTATAGTCATTGAATATTGGTCCCACAAAAAAGTAAGCATCAGCCGATTCTACAATCTCGGCGCAGAAAGCCGTGCTCACTGCTCCCCAATAGGTTCCAATGAAATGGGGATGGTGTTCAGGAACCAGCCCCTTAGCAGCGGGCATAACTGCCACGGCATAGCCACAAGAATCAGCCAGCTCAACAAAGGCATTACCAGCTTTTGCAACGCGCAATTTTGGCCCTCCAACCAGCACTGGCTTTACGGCTTTGTTCAAGAACTCCGCAGCAGCCTCTACTGCTGCCTCTAAACCGATCGTATTACTCAACCTATGTATGTGTCACATAAAAATGAACAGAAACACAAGTTGATGGCATTAATAGCCAAATAAATTAAAGCAGGATCTAAATATTCAGGATGCCTAAAGTTACTATTTACTAGGCAGAGAAAGCTTTCATTTGGTGCTGCTACATAGTTGTAACCAACACTTTAATTGTAACTCGTTGGGTTAGGTTTGATTAAACTTATATTGCTTATTAAATGTATACAATTACACTAGATGCCCTTACTCCAAAATTTTACACCCGGTGCGAATTACTATTGATATGAAAATTCTAAAAGCATAAATGATTGCTATTGATGTGATTATTAATCAATATATTTGCTATTATCATGTAACTCATGTCCATTACATGGTTGATATTGCAAAACCAAACATACAAATTATAGAAATTCTTAGTGCAATTCAAAAGGATTTCAAAAAATCCATAGTGGCCTGCCTACCCAAAAAAATTGCAGACATGTAAAACATTTCTCAAATTACCTACTCCGTATAAAGGCTAGCTAAGAAGGTTAAGAAGGAACATACTTGGGGGAGAGTGAGAATGGAACTGGTTCACGAATAAAGGTAGGATGCGGGATTCCAGGCAAGTTACAGCCAATACTGATGTAAACCGGCTTGCTCTCCTTCAATGACGTTGAAATTGCCGTATCGATCAACTCATGTGCATCCTCCAGATTGTTCACCACAGCCTAAATATGCAAATCGGTAATCAATACTAGTATTAGTATAGAACCTAATATTCATAAATAAAACAATATAATCTGGATATTCAATCAATTGACAATGATTTTGATTTTGGAATGGACGCCAGACCTGAAAACAAGTGACGGTTTGAAAGCAACGTAGTTCCTGACTAAAATCAGGCAAGCCGATGGTGTGGTGGAGGATCCGGTTGGTCCCGTAGTCATTCGAATTGGGGCCGCCGACAATACATATCAGCGGGAGATTTTCACTGTAAGCGCCGGCTATGGCGTTGAGGACGCTAAGTCCTCCGACGGTGAAAGTGACGACGCACGCTCCAACACCGCGCGCCCTGGCGTAGCCGTCGGCAGCGTATCCGGCGTTGAGCTCGTTGCAGCAACCGATCAGATTGAGCCCCGGCTCTGCAATGAGATGGTCAAGGAGTGTGAGATTGAAGTCTCCCGGGACGCTGAAGACGTCCTTCACGCCGATCTGGACAAGCCGGCGAGCGAGATGGCGGCCTAGAGTAGCCTCAGCCGAGCTGAAGGGGACAGGGGATGGGTGAACAGTAACTGCACCGTTGATCGGAGGACTGCCGATCTCGCCGGACGCAGGCCTAGAATCTTCGACGGCAACGATCGTAGTATCCATTGTATCGCTCTGCAATAATTAAGAGAGAAGACGGAAAATGATCTACGCGCTTATTTCTATTCGTTTTTCATCAGAAATCCGTCGTGGAAATTTCAGAATATATGTGCGTCGCATGAATTGGGGAAGAAGAAAACAAGGGGCGGTTGCAGGGATATCAGTCGGATTAAAAATACTCCCCTACATATTTGCCACATTTATATTTCCGAAGCAAAATATCATATTTTTTAATTCATTTTATTTACATATTAGTATACAAATAAAAAATAAAATTTACATATCAAAAAACTACATGAAAAGTTCTTTGAAATAAGAGGTATCAAGAATATTTTATTTTATCAAATAACCAATGAAAACGTAAAATAAACAAAAAAATCCCGCATATGTTTAAAAAACAAATGTTGTAAATATTTAGGGACGGAAAGAGTACTATAGAGTATTTGTGGGATAGTGCTGGGGTAAACAAGTATGCCTTTCATTGAAAATGTCAGATTTTGGGTTTTGTTTATGGATTATGCTACACTTACACCAAAATTTGTCTCATTCGTACACCGCAATTATATACAAACATTTTGATAGTTTACACTGACACAAGTGTTGATGCGATAACAAAAATTTACCCAGACACAAAGTGTTAGTGCGTTAACAAAAATTTATTTTATACCAACACAAAATGTTGGTGCAAACCTGCAGTGTACAAGTAGAGTACAAAAGCTTGGGATACAAATAGCTTTATCCTTTGTTTCGATTTAAAAAAAGATGGACTTATTTTAATATGATCACGAAGAGATAAATTGGGCTTGGTCACATATTAGTGGCAATGTAATTCTGATTAAATTTAAAACAAGCACGTCAGGCTCTCTAACGTTGAGAGCCTAGCTTCCTAATCAGCATCCCACATAGACCTGGCAAAACGGTCGGTCAGGTCGAGTTCGGGTTCGGTATGATCGGGTTCGGGAAATTTCGGGTTCGGGTCACTTCGGGTTCGGGTCTAAGGATGCTTGTTCATGACCCAGAGCTATCGGGTTCGGGTTGACCCAACGGGTTAAGAGACGTATTTAAAAATTTAAAATTAAGCCTTTTAGATATGAAGTGATCAATGTATTCTTCAAAATAGAGAAGAAAATCATTCAAAACAACAAGAAATTAAACATAGCAAAAAATTCTAAACATCATCATCTCTGAAATGAACTATCCAAGCACACGAATCAAAATGCAAAATAATTTAGAGTTAAAAAAAATGATTAAAAGTTTCTTCTCAAATGAAGTCATCCCCCGTCTCAATTTGATGCTTATTACGACTCGAACGCCTGAAATCCAACTCAATGCCTTCTTCAAGTTTGTCACGATCATCTACATATTTATACAACACATATATGAAGATTTAATTTGGAAGTGAAAAATAAATTGAGGCTTATATATATTAAATTACCTTCATCAACATCATATCCAAATATCCAACTACGGGTGGTAATCAAAGCTTCAGCATTCTCAGGCTTAAGTGATGCTCTCCACTTTGTTAAAATTCTACCACCTAAGCTAAAAGCGGATTCACATGCAAGTGTGGTGATTGGTATGCTTAATATATCTTTTGCCATTTTTGCAACATCAGAAAATCTTTTAGCATTGTCTTTCCACCATTCAAGAACATCTAAATTTTCATTAGGATCCACCTTGAGTTCTTCCAAATACACATCCAATTGAGATTTAAACCTAGAAGTTGTCACTCCATCAAATGCTAAAAAAGCCTACATACAAATTTCAATAGAGAAATGGATATCAAAAATTAAAAAATTATGAATATATATAATCTTAAGTTTAAAAGTCATGAATGAACATAAATATTCTAGAGTATTATAATTTAATTATAAATAAATATAAAATGAAATTATAAACATACCTCTAGGTCTGCGGAGGTATTCCTTAAATTTGAATTCACATTGGCAGTAGGATCAACTGTTGAATACTCACCAAATAGTTTATAAAGTTTTTCCTTCACATCTTTCACCTTCACTTCTACAGTCGTAGAATCTAAGGTTGCAAAACAAAATCTCACAAATTGAAGTTTATATCGAGGATCTAAAATTGCTGCAAATGAAAGTATCATGCTATAAGATTCCCAATACTTGTCAAACTTCACTTTCATCCTCTTTGCCATCTCTCTTATGCACATATCTGTCTCTCTTATGTCATCAGAATGTCTCTTTAGAAAACATTGAATTCTCCACACATTTAATAAATACTTATTTGCTGTAGGATAGTGTCTTCCAGAAAACTGTGTAGTAATTTCATCAAATGGTTTCAAAAGTTCATGGATCCTTTGAATTCTTACCCATTCTTCATCGCTTGGAACTACGGGTGCATCACGGTTCATCCTTTTCACACCAGAAAAGACAAAACGGTACGGGAGTGCTCTATCAAGCATCTTAAAAGTAGAATTCCACCTAGTAGGACAATCTAACCACAAACTTCTTGAAGTATCCACGCCAAGACTATTAGCACAATCCTCAAATTTCAACTCACGACCCTCAGAAGCAGTGACATATTTTATACAGTCTCTAAGTGTACGCATGGAAGTATCAATGATAGTAAGACCCTCTTTAACAATCAAATTCATTATATGAGCAGCACAACGAACATGAAAATAGTCACGATTAGCAGGCAAATGAGAATAAACAGAGAGACTATCAGATAAAAGACCTTGCATGTTGTCCCTGTACTTCGCATTATCTAGCGTCATGGAAAAGACTTTCTTATGAATTCCCCACATCTTAAGAAGACTTAAAATCTTTTCATGAATGGCATCAGCATTGTGTGGAGGTGGCACAATCTTGTTTTGCAAATTCCAATTATCATCAATAAAGTGAGCTGTCAAGCTAAGATAACCTTGTCCAACAATTGATGACCACATATCTGATGTGAAGCATATTTTACCATCAATTTCACTCAAGACTTTTTTAAGTTTCAATCTTTCTCCTTCATGAATCTTCAAAAAATTAAACAGAGTATTCAAATTCTAGAACTTTGGAAATTAAAAAATTAGAAAAAGACTAAAGTAAGAGTAAAACATTGAAAATATACTAAAATAGGACTTCCATGTTTTTTTCACGGAATAGGAGTTAAAATGCATTTATATTACCAAACGTGGTCATGTACATTACCAAAAAATATAGTAATGTGCACGTGTACAATGCCACATTGTCTCCACATTACCACAGTGTGAACTTCTATTTCGAAAAAAATAGAAGTCATATCTTGGTACTTTTTCTATCTTTTAGTCTTATTTAGAGTGATTTCTATTAAAAAGTTTAAAAATCTTAATTGGAATAGAAACTAACAGTGACATTTAATTGAAGAATTTTGAAAACTAAAATATTTAAAAATCCCAATTAGAAGAAAAACTGATACTGGCAATGATAAGTTAAAAGAATGGTACTCCACCTCCTTAATTTGATACACGCATAGCATAAAAAAATGTAGGGGTTGACAAAGAAACCGAACTAGCATTATACCATACCAGAATGTAATCGTACAAAATTGTTTATAATGTTTTTAAACGAAATTGATTTTTTTCATCCAAACAAAACCGAAGCATTATCAAACGAGATATGAACGTGATACAAACATTTAAAACCGATTATTATGGGCCGAATCATTTAAAGCTACCTACGGAGTATGTCAAATACTTATTTTTATATTATTTCATCTTACCACATATGGAGTATGTACTTTGTATTGTATTATTCTTTTTTTTAAATTCTTTTATTATTATTTTTGTTACTATATTTACTACCATGAACATTATTCTTTTGCAGTTACTAATAGTCTGATATAAATTGGAAAAAACCTTTTTGAGTATTTTTTATGTTTACACTCTTTATCTTTTACGGAGTATTCTTTGTGTTTATAATTCTTTTCAATTTGAAATCATTACTTTTTAATTTTTTAACAAAGTTGTGCCTTTTCTAGACAAAATTATGCTTTTTCTTTAATATTATTTGGTAATGTTTGTTTAATTTCGTGGCACGATTTAGGCATGGGTATGATATTGTACCATTCCGTTTCAAAATGAAATGGTATCGAATGGCTTTTGGGCCACGTACCATTTAAACAAGAGTAGTTCGTGAAAAGTTCCGAAAGTATCACGCCCGTGCCCACCACTAAAAAAATGTCCCTAAATAAGAGCTAACAGTCTGAATCTTGGTAACGTGAAGATAATACGACGACGAAGCTCCAATGGCAGTCTGGCGACTGGCAATGGTTGTCCAGTGGTCTAATGACCAGCAGTGGAGTTCTAGCGCCAGTGTGGCAGCGCTAGTGTGGTCTAAACTCATATTTAGACCACGAAGCTCTTATTTTGATCGCTCCTACTTGGGTACTTCTAGTGTTGATATGCTTAAACTCATATTTACACGCTTCCTTAAAATAAAAACAAAAATATGATGTATAGTTTTTCTTTTTCTTCTAAACAAACTTCAACCATTTTTTATTTTTAAATATTTTCCTCAAACTCCATGAAGTCAAACCGTTCAAATTAAATTAAATCGGGACGGAGGCAATAAGTTATTGTACGAAAACATTTTCATAAATAATAAAAATACTTACTCATGACGCTAATTAAGAACTCGCTATGGGTAGCAGAAGGTCGTTTTCTAAACCAGGAACAAATTATATCTCATTTCTTATTGGCTAGTTGAGGTTAAAACTTGATTTACCTCCTTTCAAATGACTGTCCGAGCAAGCCCGAGAGACCTAGGATAGAGTTCATTTTTTTCTAATTAAGTATTCACAAAAAGATTCATAATTTGCTTCACTTTTTTTATTGAAAAAAAGTTGAAGTGAAGCACTTAAGTAGAGATTGGAGAACATTGAACTCAGTAACTTGAGTACATGTTGTTCTCTCTCTTTACAATTTTTTTTTTGAATTTGTGGACCCAAAAAATTAAGAGAAAAGTAGGGAATCCTATCGCTATCAATGGTATTTCCTTTATGCCTTGAGCCTTATATTGCTGTTCATGTCTGCCTACGCAACTCTTTTCTTTTGAAGTGCAGCAGAAAGCAGATGGACACAAGTGCACTAAACAGCTAAAACCATTAGGCCCTTTCCATGCCCCACTCGAGGCTGCGAATCTGCTTAAGCTTTTAAGGGTGAATTTCCCGTCAATTCTGGGGTTAAGTCAAGCTACCTGCTGTTTTGCTGTTGATATTTCAGACGAATATGATAGCTCCTCTTAGGCGAATTAGAACATATTACCAAATTTCTCCGAGAAGAGATAGGGAAATGCTGGTCTCTCTTCAACAGTCATGGCTTTTCCAGAGAGATCAAACTCTAAAAAGTGGTAGAGAACTATGATTTGTGATTTGTTATGGAGTACTAAACACTAAACAGTACGCAAACAGCCTTATTTTGTTAGTCTCTGTCCCTACTTCCTAAGCAATCTTCTTGCTCATTTTTAGCACGTTCCAAAACTACCTCCCCATTTCTTTGTAAAGGAATTACACTGCCTAGTTCACATTCTATCCTTCTCGATTCTAAATAAAGCTCAACCACTTTATTTTCATTGTTTTAATCTCAAACACAGAAATCTCAATCTTGGCTTGTCTCGAATACTGCTTGCCGGATACTAGAGAACCGTGCCATTCAATGTTAGTGCGGTTGAAACTAGGAAATCAAAGTGAGATCAAACAGCTTGCAGGCTTTTGCATAAGAATGATCTGAAAACTGCTATAAAATGAGAGGAAAATAAAATGGGAAGCTATATACCTATAGTGGCATATGTCTTCTCTCATACAAGCCAATAACTTGGTCAGCAACAGCCCACATGATGGCCTGCCCAGGAGGGATCCTCATTAGCCGGGGAACCAAACCTTTCCACAAAGCCAACAAACCTTCTTCTGTGTATATAGTCGAGATAGCATGAAACATTCCCCTGTACTTCAGATCACCCCCTGATCTGTTTTGAGCCATCAGCCTCGTTTTTACAACATCGAATGGGCCAGTACATACAGGGCCCGCCGTCCCTGCAAGGAATCCAGAGATCATTGACTGCCATGGCTGGAGAACTCGGCCATCACCTTCGTCTTTCTTCCACAAAACTGTGTCGAATGCGTTCTTGGCTGTGAACATGGCTGCCTGGTTCGTCCCGTTTCGCATCACAGTTGGGGCTGCTCCAGCCCATAGCCCGCGAATCCCTTCTTCACGGATGATCATCCGGGCACAGTGTATAGGCCCCTTGTACTTTAGAAGCTCTGGGCTTAAACCTCTTTGCTGTTGTAGCTGTATTTTCACCACCTACATCAGCTAAACTACATCAGCTATTGAGCTCTTAGACACAACAAGAGTTGTATGACTTGGTGGGCTGCTTTGATCTGGCATGAATAGATCGACGATCCAGTCAAAAGATATTAACAAAAAAAAATACTAAATCTTCATTTCATCTAAACCTTTGTGTTCATAGCTTCCTTGGCTCAGTTTGCTGAAAATCAAGTAATTGTGCTGACATGGAGTACAAAAAGAGGAGTGAAGGAATCCACACAATCACGACACGAAGCTTGATAATTAGCTAAAAATGAGCCAAACTTAACCCTACGTTTGGTTCAATGAAATTTGGAAGGGAAGACAGAGAAAATGATCTCTCTCCTTCCTCACCAAAATGGAAAGAATCAAGTTTTCCTTCTTTTCAGCTTGTTTTATCTTCTCGTTTTCTTTTTCTTTCACTTTTCTTTTCTTTTTTCCTCTCTAACCAAACATAAAAAATCCTTTCCATTTCATTTTCTTTTCTTCTCCCTCTGAACTTTCTTGAACCAAACATAGTGTAAGTTATTGACTTCAACTTTCCCATTTCTGAAGCTCACTTTGCTTGGATTTTGGTGAATTAAGGGATCATTAATCTATTATTAGCATTGATTTGGCAACATAAAACCAGGAGATCCACAAGATAGAAATTATACAACAACAAAACGAAACAAATGATCACAATTTGACACAATCCATGAAGCACGGTAAAATTTTCAGATCACGAAAAGTCATCACTGAAATGAACACATCAAGCAAATAGACTGAAACCAAACAAATTATATTCAAAAAACAAACCTCGAAAGGGGTAACAATGAGGAGAGCTTCGAGGACGCCAGCTCCGAAGCCAGATAGAACCCTACCGTACGGACTGAGATTCCCCGTCTCGGAATCCTTGAAAGCAGACTGCAGGACGGCGTTGGATCCCATCCGGAGCGCGTATTTGAGCGTGAGATGAGTGGCGAATGGGGTCAACCCCTTCCACAGAGCCCGTACACCTTCGTGCTTGATGACGGCGGAGCCGCAGTGGACGATCCCCTTGTACGAACCGGAGCGGTCCAGCTGAAGCCTAGTCTTGATCACGTCAATCGGCTGCAAGCAGCTCGCCTCCACGATTCCTCCCAGAGATCCGGAAATGGCTTTCATGTACGGCGGAATTGTCGGCATTTCCCTCTTCCGCTTCTCATCATCCATTGAGCGAGAAGAACTTAAGGAGCAGAGAGTCGGCGGAGAAGTTGAAGGCGACGCCTTTGATTGAGGTGCTAGTGCAGCAACACAGTCCTCCGCCGGGTTGCAGCCCCCTTCTCCTCCCCTTTCCTGTTTATTAAAAAAACAAGTTACAAGTTAAAAAGATGGTCCTACTTCATATTCACTGACGCTATGTGATGGGATTCCCCTCTTTTCCTCTCTTGCTAATTTAGAGCCATATCAGTTTCAGTTTTTCTTTTTTAGGTTGTGTTTGATCTGATTTTTTAAAAATTTAATCTGGTCTGATCTAATTATAGTTATAATTAAAGCTATTTCTTATCTGATTTGATCTGATCTGGTATAATCTAATCTCGTCTGATCTGATTATAATAAGAATAAGTAATAGGGAAAAAAATAAGTTGAACACAACGCAACCTTAATCTTCCACTTTTATATTTCTGCATCCATTTCCTTTTCCCATTCCCTACCAATTTTTTATACATCATGTGTTGCAAAAAGAACTCATTGTTCTCTTTTTGGGACGTCTCAAAAAAAGATTATTCTTAGAAAAACTTTGAGTGACTCACAATCTTTCTTTCTCCTCTATATCACTTTCAATCACATATATTTTTACTTTTCTTAAATTTTGTACGAAGTCAAACTGTGAGTCTTTTTAGGATAGAGTATAATATTTAACACTTATTTTTATTATATAAAAATTTTGAAATAAATATACCCTTACAATTAAATTAAAAGTACACTAAAGTTGAAACATTAAAAAAATTAAGATACAATAAAAACCTTCGAAATAAACCTAAAAATAATTCATATTTAAAAAAATACAAACATAATCATCATCTATGATTGGTAGACCAAAATTCTACAAATGCTCTACCAAACCGGGACATAAGTGAAGGTGCGTATGCTGGTTGTGTAATGCAAAAAAGTTCAAGTCTTATTATGTAGCATCCATCGATTCAACGTTTTCAAGAGCGTCATTCAGATTGTATTCGCATATCAAGTGCCCTTCATCTTTGAGCATCATGTTACGTAGTATAGTACAAGCATACATAACATGTCTTAAGTTTTTGGTGACCACACACGAGCTGGATTTTGGATAATATGTCATCTCTACTTTAGAACTCGAAGTACTCGTCCAATATCTTTTATTGACGATTCTTGGTATTCGGCAATTTTTTTCTTTTCTCTTCCGGAGGATATGGTATTGGTTTTGTGATAGCCGAATACTCAGGATATATACTGTTAGCAAGATAGTACACATGTTTGTATTCTGCCCCTGAATTGTGAACAAAGTATTAAGTCCTATACCCTGAATGATTTTGTTGAAAGTGTCTGATTGACCGATAATCTTTAGGCCGTTGTTTGGACTTGCAACATCAAAGAAAGCATGCCAAATCCAAAGATTTGTCGGCTCCACGATCTCGTTTGTGAACAAAATTTTGGCTTCATCTGAAGAAGAAGAAGAAGAAGAAAAGGTCGTCATTATATCAAATGAAGGAGATGACATTGTGGCAACACTACATAGATTTTTTGTTTGAATATGAAGGTGAAGAATGGAGAAAAATTGAAGGGGAAAAGTGTTTAAAATGGTGAGTGGTGAGAGGTGTTTAAATAAGGAATTTTTGAATTTTGTTCTTATAAATGGAATAGGAAAAAAAGAGATATGACTGTTGAAAATGGTCGAAATTCTCCAACTGGTACGTAGAGAGCCTGGTGGGAAAAATTGGAAGGAGATCCTACCTTTCTTGTTCCCGTATAGTTGGGGGAGTTTCCTTTCTCTTCTCGCTGCCACCGGGCCTTCCCGCATGGCCTTTCTCATGTACACACCCCACATAGCCTAAGGATATGTTTCCTTGGCCTCATTTTATTTTTTAAAAGGGTTCACCTAATTTGATCTCATCAAATCTGATCCGATCTTGGTATAATCTGATTGGAATTGATCAGAATTGATTGAACCTAATCTAATTAAATTTCATTTGATTGAATCTGGTTTGATTTAAATGAATCATATGTGATGCACTTAAAATTTAAAGTCAATATAATAACTTTATTATAATTATTATTATTAAAATTATTGCTCTTTCTACCGTTAGATATCATCATGTATGCAATTACACGCTGCAGATAGTTTTTTTTACATATTTATTTTCATTAGTAATTTCATACACTAAAAAGATTTATCTCTACTTATTTTGTAAAATTTTTGAATTAGTTTTTATAATATATTTTACATATGTATTTTCATGAATTATTTTTGGACATTATAATACTCCGTAGTAATTATTGGTAAATTATATGCAACGTTAAAGAATGTTGGGTTAAACTTTAATATTCGTTGGATCAAACTTTAATACTCCGTAGTATCTCTTCTTGTTTAATATTCATCAAACTTTATCCATACTGTTAGCCTATTTTCATTATTTATTCAATAAAAGAATATAGTCATGTTAAATCTAGTTTTGTAAATATTTTAATATAGTTTTTAAATATATAATTTTTTTTTTAAGTTTCTCACCAACTTTCTAGTAAATTAAATAAAAAATAATTTCAGTAAATATTTTAAAGTGCAATACGAAGTTAGTTTTAGAATGGAGGAAGTAATAATTGATGAGATATTAACAATTTTTCAAGTTTTTTGGATTTATCTAATATAATCTAAAAATATCATGTGTTGTTGGTTCTTATTCAATTTGATTGGATCTTGTCTAATCTGATCTAATCTAATCTAATTAAATCTCATTAAATCTGATGTGATTAGATTTATTCTAATCTGATTAAATTTGATCTTGTGTGATCTGATTTTAATATGGATAATTATTAAGGTGAAAAAATATGTTGAACAAACAGACCCTAAGTTGAGTTCTCTTATGATCGATGCCTATTTGCCCAGACAAAAATATATTTCTTGTTAAGGAAATCTTTGGAGATGCTAAATCTCAAAAATAACATGTTTTTGTTTTTTTTACAATGATACTTATTTTCAAATCTTTACCAATTTGGTTTTGAAAGGCTTATCATAGACAATTAACAACAAAGTAAAACAAATTAAATTTCAAGATTTAACTAAAGTTTGTCATCTCTTTTTTTTGTGAAATGTTAATTGTCACTTAAAAGTTTAGTAATTCGGCTCAAGATTTATTGGTTAAACTTGACCATAATTTTTTTTTGTGAAGTTGCCTATGCGTTTGCTCAACACGTGACACATTATTATTATTATTTATAACATGATCATACTAGTCGTCATGGTTAGTTATGAATTTTTTTTATAACCAACATTTTTTTAAAAAAATTTCTATATTATTTCAACCTTCTCTTGCTTATGTTTTTTTACACATGATTTTTTTATAAAGTACATGTTAATTAACAAACAAATCAAGTAACAATCAAGAAAACAATTTCACATAAGCACATAATAAGGATTTAGAGTTATCTCCTGGGGAGAGGAGTTGCGAGATATGACGATGCTGCTGCTGAAGTACCTTTTTTTCAATCAATCTTTTCCACCTTTTTTTCTTTGAACCTTTTTTTTGAAAATTCGTCTTTTGAAAGGGTCCAAAGACCGGGTTTAAAGCCACTTGCTCTATTACCAAAATGTAACACCCATACCCATGTAACCTGAACCAACGAGTTAGCGAACCGGATTGCTATGAAATTGAATTCAAACACAATAATTTTCAAAACAATTTAAAACATTTAATTCAAACATTATTTAGAACATTCATCAGAGTTAACAAAGCGGTGCAGAAGGTTTAAAATACTTAATTCAAAATACAACTTGGGTTCTTGCCCTTGGAACATATTAAATTCAAATTATATTACTATTACTAAACAAACTCCTCAGCTAGCATCCATCCAGCTCTCTGCTCTCACTGCCCTCTAAGATTGTTTCTTAATCCATTGTTCCTGTTATCTACGTGTAGCAAATAGATAAAAGAGCTATACGCTCATCATTGAAGCTAAGTAAGAAATATCTAATGTTTCGAATATGCACATAAGCGAACCAACTAGCGCATAACTTCATACAATATCATGCACACAAGTACAACATTAATAACATCAATAAAAGTCATTAAAAGAATTCACAAGTCACAAATCATTACCTTATTTGTCTTATTTATAGCTCATGACATAATTACTAGTTAAGACCATTCTTTCTTATCTACAACCTTATCTTCAGACTTAGAGCCACTACCTTAGGCCATGAATCAAGTCTACCTTATTCAACACCTTATGACACAACACAACCTGATGACCAACGAAGGAGTTCTCCGTTGGGTGGGTGGTACCCATGTCCCATTCAGAACGACAGTTTGTGGATCCCGTACGTACCTATTGACATTTATACTTACAATCTTACTAAAGCAGTCCTAGAGTTGCTCTAGGTAGCCTGAACATTTATTTACATCTCTACAATTCAGGTTTACTCCAACATCTATGTCAATTCGTTATTTACTTTTACAATAGGATTATATTTAATTATAACAAGAGGGATAACAATAATCAGATGACCAATCATATAACTCAATTAGCAGTCTAGTGTCGAGTGTAAGCACCCTCCACTTATCGCCATACAACACATAAGGTTTCAGAGTCAATTCGGGTTCCAAATCGGGTCAAACAATCAAATAGCGGAGATTTGTAGCTGCCAGTACGTTTCCGTTCGACCGTCTCACATAGATACCGGCAGCAGCAGCAAGCCTGAGACGGTAGGTGGGTACCAATGGACAGTACCTTGCTACCATTCAGCATCGGGAGGGTACAGATTTAGCGGGTTTTGATCCTATTCCAAACAGTTCGATACGTATAAAGTTTTTAAAGACTAATGTCATGCAAATCACACATTTTCGAATAAGGAAACACACTTGGTCGTTCTCGTTCCACCAATTCCAATAATAACATACTCCCTCCGTCCCTAAATAAACTTCTCTTTTTGACTTTTTGAGAATTTAAGGGAGGGATATTTTTGTGTTGGCTTTCCAAAAATACCTTTGATGTGATGTGTAAAAGATGTGATATGTAGATTATTAGTAAAAAGGTATGATGTGATAGGTATGGTATGAATAAGTAAGGGGTAAAAGAGGTTTTTTAAGGAAAAAGAGAAGTTTATTTGAAGACAAAAAAAACGAAAGAGAAAGTTTATTTAGGGACGGATGAAGTATAATATAGATAAATCATACTCCCTCCGTCCGGATTTTAAGTTCCCATTTTGACTTTTGGTCATTTTTATTGGGTATTGACTTTGGAAAGGAAATGTCTACAATACCCTTATTCCCTTCCCTCATCCTTCCATGTTACCTCAACACAGCCCTTTTCTGCCCACACCTCCACCGGCCACCGCCACCTCCCAATCACCCCGTTGACCCAACCCACGCCACCGGCTACCGTACCGTCGCATCCCCACCGTCAGCTCCACCCGCCGCAAGAGCTTTCCGAGGAAACAGATCTGGAGGTACAAATCGCCACTGCCGTCAGCTCCACCCGCCACCATCGCCAGTAACCCCGCACAAATGGATCTCTAAATTTTTTAGATCTGAAAAAAAGAGATCCAACTCTGGTAGAAGAAGAAAATGACAAAAAGAAGAAAAAGAAGATGGGAGGAGAGAGCGGGGGGGAGATGAAGGCTAGATCTAGCAAGAAAAGAATGGAAAGAAGAAGGAAGAGGAGGAAGAAGATGACGAGGAGAAGAAAAGGAAGGGGAGAGGAAGAGAGAGGAGGAAGGAAGAGGAAGATAGAGAAAGGAGACGGGAAAGGAAGAGAAAAGGGGGAGGGAAGAGAGAGAATACCTGGCTGGTGCTGTGCGTGGGATGGCAGGCCGAGAGAAAGGCGAGAAAGGATGAGGAGGGAAGGGTAATTTAGGAAGATTGGGTATGAAAACGTAGACTGGGAACTTTATTTCCGGACGGAAAAAAGCGTAGACTGGGAACTTAAAATCCGGACGGAGGGAGTAATTCAATTATAAACAAATAAACCACGTAATCAATCATATGAAACTACGAACGTGAATTTCAAATATAATCTACTCACCTTGATTATTTGACGAATTAAACAAATCAACGAAGAGGACACTGAAAATCACACCGGCAGGCGGCAGCGGCGTCATGGTGGTCGGCCGTCGGTCTACGGCGAAACTCCCACGGTTGGGTCTGATGTCGTGTACATAGAAGAAGAAATAACAGATGAAATGACAGATGTAGAGCACGGCGCGTATATATAATACTCGGCCCAAATCCAAGTTATAGTAGGTTTGCATTATGATTATTAATATTTAAAGATTATATTGTAAATATCTTTATATTTATTTATTGGATTCTAATGTCTATTTTATTCTTTATGCTTTACACGAAATCCCAAACTTAACAAATTATATACCGTTGGTCACCATTTTACTAGATCTATCCAGAAATCTAATTTTTATTTAAAACGGACAACTTTACAAATAATTCATATTTTTGAGTAAATAAATATTATATTTATTTTCATTAAAATAACGGCTAACTATTAAGCCAAGTTTCACATCGTTACAGTCAATGGTGGCTTCTGCCAGGATTTATGGCCTAAAATCTCTCACATACCCCTTAAGATGATGCATGAGACCTCTTATAAAGCTGTCCAGAAAATACACATGAGGCATCAAGGGGTTCTTCATTTCATCAATAGACATGATTTCAAATCCTCAAACTTATCAATATAATCTTCTAAACCCCAAGTTTGTAGAAGTTTAATGGAAAAATTGATATAAATACTCCCAGAAATTTGAAATTTCACAATAATACTCTCAAATTAAATAAAAGACTCTGGTGCTCCCAATTAAACTATAAGTTTACATTACTACTCCAACTATCTCTAATCAGCTTTTCTTATACTTACATGTAAGTAATTATGTTTAATTGACATCTTAGTTGTTGTTTTTTGTTTTAATAAGAGGAAAAAATTATATAAATACTCATAGAAATTCAAAATTTTACAATAATTCTCCCAAAATCAAATAAAGACTCCAATTCTCCTAAAAGTATATTCTCGTTGCACGTTACTATATTTGACTGAAATTATTTTTAAAGTATTTTATATGAAAAATGGTGTGAAATTAAAAAATAAAAATTACATATTAAAAACTAATATAGTAATATGTAAAAATAATTTTTTTAGTAATATTAAAGATTAATTAATTGAGCTTAATTGGCATCTTAAGTAGTTTTTTATATTTTAATAAAAAATATCCTTCTGTCCAAAAATTATCTTCTCATTCACTATCAAGAGTATTAATAAGATCAAATTTTATTTACTTTGCTTATCTATTTTAATTATGTATTTGATAAAATAATATAATTATATCATTACTAGTTTTATGGATCTTATAATGTAATTTTTAGATATATAATTTTAATTTTTGATTTCACATCATTTTTATTAAACATCATAACAGGTAAAAGGAAGATATTTTTTAGAGTACTGGAATCTTTATTTGGTTTTAAGAGATTATTGTAAAATTTTGAATTTCAGAGAGTATTTATACAATTTTTTTCTCCTATTAAAACAAAAAGAACTTAGATGTCAACTAAGCATAATTACTTACATGTAAGCATACGAAAAACTGATTAGGAATAGTGGGAGTAGCAATGTAAACTTATAGTTTAATTGGAAGCACCAAAGTCTTTTATTAAATTTTGGAGTATTATTGTAAAATTTCAAATTTCAGGAGTATTTATATCAATTTTTTCTTTATTAAATTCCTCCACCATTTTTGACCCGAATTCATATTTAAATCTTGCGCACAAATCTATCACAAAATCTTCCCACATAATGGAGTGTTTTCTTATTGTATAGCTATTATACCATGACTCCGCTTTCCCACCCATATACTAGGAAGCAAGATCCACTTTCTTAGTATCAGGAATTTGATACAGCGTGAAGTATAATACACACTTCTTAAACCAAATACGCACATTCGATCCATCAAATTAGGGAAAGGACCATCCATCAAATTAGGGAAAGGACCATGCTACACTTACACCAACAAATATACCTCATTTGTATACCACATGTTTGCACAAACATTTCGATGGTTTACACCGACACAAGTGTTGGTGCGTTAATAAAAATTCACACGGACACAAATGTTGGTGCGATTAACAAAAATTAGTTTTACACCAACACAAAATGTTGGTGCAAAACTGCGGGGTACAAATTGGGGTAGAAATCTTGGGGTACACATAGCATAATCCTTAGGGAAAGGACCATGCTACACTTACACCAACAAATATACCCCATTTGTACACCACAGGTTTGCACAAACATTTCGATGGTTTACACCGACACAAGTGTTGGTGCGTTAATAAAAATTCACACGGACACAAATGTTGGTTCTACCTTAAGATTGAAGTGCAGGTCCCTATGATTGTTCGTGTCCATCCTTCTGGCTCATTCTTGATCGTTTTCCATAGAGGAAGACAATTCTCCATGCGTGATTGTCTTAATCTGCTCCATGATCTACGCTTTTCTGCTCTCCAATTCTTTGGTTTTGTTGTTCCATCTGGAACACAAAAGTCTTTTGTTGCTCCATCAAAGCTGTCAGTAGTTGTGCCCACGCCTTAGAGGGTGGGGGATGAATAAGGCGTTCGAAAATTTTTCAGAGTTTGATAAATTTGGTTTTGGTAAATGCGGAAAAAATAACAAAATGCAGAAATAAAGTATAAAGTAAATGACACACCAAATTTATACTTGTTCGAGAACTCCCTACTTCCAGTACCTTAAGGCTCCTCCTTGAGGATTTTCGAATCCACTGAGTCCCGGTCTCTTGAACTCTGTCAAAGCACCGCACTAGTTTGGCAAACCACCCTTTCCAATAGGATTCACTCCGATATTTCAAAATGGCTATCTCGAACCGCTTACAATGAAGATTTCACGGCTATCTTCGACCGTCCCCCCAAGGATATCAAACGCTATCCTTGAACCTTGATCCAAGGATTTATACGGCTATCCTCGACCATTACAACTTGAGAATTTAACTGCTATTCTCGACCGTAAGAAGGTGTGCTTGAAGAACACAAGAAATGGTTCTATACAATGTCGTGAATACAAAAATAAAGGACAAGACTTAGCCGGTGTAGAACAAAGTTATACTCTCTCAACAGTACAATATAAACCTATGTATATATGAGTATATCACTAAAACACAAGCTCCAAAGTGTGTGTATAAAAATAAGGATATTAAGGCTCTCGAAATAGCCAAAATATTGAAAATAATGAATAAAAGAATGAACACACTTTAAATATAAAGAGAGGATGTTTGGAGCTTTGTTTCATGTTGAAATATGAAGTATTAGGCCTATATTTATAGTGGAAGGTGTTAATTAGCTGTTGGGAGGTGATAAGGGTTGATTTAATTCAAAAATTAGCAATCAGGAATAGTGTTCCAATGGCTACGGTACCCTGTCACGGTAGCTAGGTACCGTACGGTACCTAGCCACCTAGGTACCTTCTAAATCCAAAACTCTCTGGCGGTAGCTGTCCTGTTGCGTTACCTGTTCGGTATGGTGGTCCCGTCGAGATGGTAGGGGGGTCCTAGGCTGACGGTGGGGGTACCTTCTCAGACTAACTCACGGTGCCCCTTACGGTACCTAGGTACCTGTTGACCGTTTTGATGATTTTTTCATCTTTGTTCAAATCTTTTCGAATTTTGTTTAAAACCTTTTAAATGTTTTAAAATGATTATAATAAGGTTTTAAACATATTTTCTGAGTGCTTTTGAGCTTGTGAATATAGGTATACAAAATCATATCCTTACAATAGTTTCCATCTATATTCTACGCTAGTTTATTATTTCGACTTCATTCTTGAGAATCGAATCTTAATGAATTCTTTTTGTACCTAAAACACTTAAAAGAAATGTTAGCTCTTATATTGTTTGTTAACATCAAAACACGAGGCTTTAGCAAACCAATGCTAACAAAAGCCTTGAAAGCTTTACCAAGGGTGGCCATCTGCGCCTTCTTGCGTCTTAGCATTTTAATTATTTGGTGATTGAATTTTATGAATTCTCTGATTTGAAGTTTTTCTTTTAACATGATGTGAATCGGGTTGCGAGATGATATGGGTAGTAGTTATTGGTATACTTGTAAAGTGTAATGCTTGTGCTAATGTGTAAATGTGATGAGCTGTATCCAAAGGATCTAATCCTATAAATACCGTGTAATAGGCCTATTGGATAATGAGAAAAGATAGTTTTCCTCTCAAAATAACTCTCCTTCTCTCTCGCCCATTCCCTTACAAGACCTCGAGGTCTCCTTCTACTTCCCGAGACCTCCACGCCTTGTATCATTGGTATTAGAGCACTTTCTTGAGCCTTGCGCTGGCACACACAAGACGAGAGAAGGCGCAGATGGCCACCCTTGGTAAAGCTTTCAAGGCGTTAGCTTTGGTTTGCTAAAGCCTCGTGCTTTGATGTTAACAAATAATATAAGAGCTAACGTTTGTTTAAGTGTATTTGAATTTTTACCATCCTTTCACTAATAATCTATTTGTCCATTACCAGGTGACTAGCATGTCACTTTGGCCTAAACATTGACCCTCATTTCTTCTTTTTCTTCTCCGTACACATTCATAATTTATATTCTTTTCTTTTTCAACCCACTCCCCTTTCTTTCTCTCCTTTCTTTTTCCCCTCTTTTCTTTTATTTTTTATTTTTTTCTTTTCTCTTATTCGCAATTTTTCCCTCTTTTCTTTTGCTTCTTTTTTTCTTTTGATCCTTTTTCAACTTTTTATTTATTTTTCTATCATTTCTTTTCTTTTTCTTTTAATTTCCTTCATTTTGTCTATTTTTTAATTTTTCCCTTTTAAAATTTTTTTCACTATTTTATTTTTCTCTGTTTGTTTTTGTTTGCTATTTTTTTTCTTTATTTCCTTTTTGATTTATTTATTTATTATTTATTTCTTTTCTGCTTTTTCTCATTTCTTACTTTGTTTTTCTTTGTTTTGTTTTCTTGTTTGCTTTTCTTTCTTTTTTCCTTTATTTGGCAATTTCGTTATGTTTTTCTTTTATCTTTTCTGTTAATGACTGTGTTATTTTATGTTTAATCAATTTAATTAAATAAAAAAATCAAACCATACAACGTAATTTTTTTGTTTATTTTATTTGAAATGTTATGTTTGTTAACTTTTTTTGTTTGTTTTTAATCTATATTGTAAACAAATAAAGAATAAGTGAATAAATAAGCCCTAAATAAATACATAAAAAATGAAAAAAAAGAAAACATAAAATTTTAAGAAAACAAACATAAAGAAGACATATTGTGCCATATTTTTTAATTAAAATTTTAAATAAAATAACACTAATTAATAATATAAAACAAACCGAAATAAGATTAAGTTAAATATAAAAAGAGACAACCGTACAAACAAAAAAGAACGAATTCGAGTTTGAATTAGTTTTTACTTTTTCTACTAAAAAGTATTTCAGAATTAAAAAAAATGATAAGAAAGAAAAAAAGTTCAATTAATTATTTTTATTTTAGTATTATTTTTTTGAACATTACGATTTTTGTTTCTAGTTCTCATCTTTTTTTATTTGGCTTACTTTATCTAATTACTTTCTTTTTATTGTATACAAAAAAAATCGATAACAAACAAAAAAGACAAACAAAAAACATAATGAATATAATTTTCTAATTAAAATGATCAATAAAATAACACACATTAATTAATAAATTAAAATAACCAAACTAAGAATAAGTGACACATAAAAGAGAACAACCCAAAAAACGAATCTAAATTTCAAATAATTTCTTACTTCATTTTTATGAATATATATAAGAAAAAAGAGGGAATATAAAATATGGGAGTGTAAGGAGAAGATAAAGAAGAAATGGTGATCAATGTGAAAAAATAAAAATTCAGATTTTACAATTTGGACCAAAGTGACATGTTAGTCACCTGATAATAGGCAAATGGACTATTAATGAAATAATGATACAAATTCAACTACTTTTGTAAAAGGTTTTGAAATTGAAGTACCAAATCAAAATTTTCGTGAAAGTTCAGGTACTATTTTTAAAATTTGCCCAATATATTTTATGTACTTGTTTTAAAATTACATTGCCATTTTATATTATATCAAGTTAATTTTATATTTGATGGGTGTATTTCACCCAAGACCGGTCAAAGGAGAAGGCCAAATCTTTGACCGGTCAATCTCGAAAGTTTTGGAAGGGAGACTTAAATCGTCAGCAAAACGATATGTCATCGGCCAATATTTGACCGGTACACTTCACAAAAAAGTATACCCGGTCAAACTACGTTATCATCCTATTTATTCCAGACTTCGATGAATTCACCTCTCGGAGATTACCCGGTGTAGTTTCTGAGGTTGGAAAGTGTCGGCAGAGGAGAATCTACGAGGGCTTGACGTGTAGCGACCCGTGTCAGTAGAGGACGACTGGAGATGCTGAAGAATCCATCCAAGGCACTACCTGACAAAGGGAATAATCCCCCTCACAAGGCGACAAGGTAGCTAAGAGACGAGGCCCATCACCTCTCAACATCCGAGACACGTGCCTCCACGTGGGCGCACGTGGTCCTGTCCCCTTAGCCTAGTATAAATACTCATGTAAACCTCAGAAAGAGGGATCCGAATTCATTCTCTCTAAACTCCCTTGTAAAAGCACCCGTGCAT